ATTTTTCTCCTTTCTGGTGTCTGGTGCAGTGCTGTGGTTTTGACTTTCAGTCTGGGAACAACACTGATAACACCGATGTTTTTAGTTGTTGCTCAGTAATGTTACTCTGACCAAGGACTTTCTCAGTCTCATGCTCTGCCAGGGAGGAGGGGAAGCTGGGAGGAAGCAGAGACAGGACACCTGACTCAAACTGGCCAAAGGGCTATTCCATACCACAGGATGTCATGCCCAGTATATAAACTGGGGGGAGTTACCCGGAAGGCCCAGATCGCTGCTCGGGTCGGGCTGGGTATCGGTCGGCAGGTGGTGAGCGGTTGTGTCCTCTCCCCTTGTTATTTCCCTTATCATTATTATTATTGGTGGTAGCAGTAGTGGTTTGTATTATACCTTAGTTACTGGAGTGCTGTTATCTCAACCCATGGGAGTTACATTCCTCTGATTCTCCTCCCCATCCTTCCGGGAGCAGGGGGAGCAAAACACGGGGGAGTGAGCGAGCAGCTGCGTGGTTCCGAGTTACTGGCTGGGCTTAAACCATGACACAGATGTTATTACATTGTGGCACGTTTAAGTTAAATACTAACTCACATAAGTGCATTACCTGGCAGCTGCAGAAAGTTAAATGAATAGTAGAGATCTGGAGATGTCTTTCTCAACTAGACTTTCATGGGAGCCACTGAAAATTTCGCACTGATTTTCTGCTAACCTGCTTGAAGGGGGACGTATTTCATGTTCCTAGGCGGAGCGTTTGCTTGTGGGTCTTTCAGTAATACAATTTCACACTAAAACCACACTTTAGTCAGAACTGGCTACAGGTGGTTTTGCATGTGTCTGGAAACATGAGTTATCATCTTTTACTAGCTCCTAACAAAGTATATTTTCCTGGTGGTCACATCTGGAGATTTCACTTTAAAACAACTTGTACAAAAACTCCATTCTTTTGCAATTTTGGTTCACCATTGATAGTTCACTTAATCATAAAATTTTCCACAATGGAGGTAGCTTTTGTAGTGATACGGAAAATTCTTTTTCAGACTTTAATTTGC